CCGGGAGCTCCTGGAATCAGACTCTACAGCAAGGTTGCTTGCTGTGTTTGGGGGCACCCGCTCTGTTTTAAGGCATCTTGGATGTGGGACCGTGGATTCCAAGGTGGGGTAGATTGTCACGCACCCATGCAGGCCACGTGAACCCGAACACGAGGACCTGGAGGACCGAGGTCACCCACGCCAGGCCCCTGCCTCCCAGGACAGCAGGATAGGCACAGGGCCGTCTGCTTCTCCTGTCTCCTCCCCCTGCAGAGCCCAGGTCCCCTCCCCGCCCCTGTCCCTCACCCTGGGCCCCAGCTGCTCAGGACACTGGGAAAGCCACTCGTGCCCCTTTCTGCCTGGAAGCGGGCGCTTGTGCCCTGCAATCTCCTGTCCCCCAGGGTGGCAACCCCTGGCTTCCTGTCCTGCTGAGATTTCCTGTCTCGGGAGGCCTCTCTGGACACCACAGCTGTCCCCAGGCCAGCAGAGGCAGCACAGAAAGAGAGGGGACAGCAGCTACACTGGGGGCACCCCAGGCTGCAGAGAGAAGTCGCCAGCCAGGGCCTCTTCCTGTGTTCATTTATCCATCCAGCGAGCTTCCCTGTGCCTGCTCAGGAGGCCCAAGAGTGTTAAAATGGGCGAGTATTTTTAAAATAGCAATCAGGGGAAGCCTAATACAGGAAACAAACAAGCACAGCAGGAAGTAATGTGAAGGGAGATATTCTGCCTGGGAAAGTCAGCAAGGGGTCCTTGAAGGAGATGACACTGGGGTAAACGCTGAAGAGCCCAGGGCAAGAGTGATTGGGCCAAGGGAATAGCACATACAAAGGCCCTGAGGTTGGCATGTGTCATCATCAAGGAGCTGAAAGAACCTTCCAGGAAATGCAGGGTCACAGAAAGCCCCTTCCACTACCTTCCTGTACCTCTGGAGCTGGGTGTATACAGCCACCCTCACCCAGTGCCTAGGCCCAGGGCCCCTAGCAGCACTTTGTACCCATACACAGCCACCTGCCTCCCGTGGGGCCATGATTCTCCCTTCTTCTCAAGTTCTGACAAGCTCCAACTCTCTGCTGCCCGACTGAGTGCCAGAGAGTGCCCTGCCCCAGCCTCCCCAGGGGATGTTGGGGTGAAGATGTTGGGGCCCGGTCCTGCCCTCAACCAGGCCAACCCCAGACCCACCCAAGCCTGGTCCCCACCCCTGTAACGGGCGGGCACAGCAGACCCCGAGGTTCCCAAGGCCCCTGCGAGGCCCCCACAGGCCCTACCGGGCCCAGGGCGGCTCTGCCCGGAGGTGACACACCCCATCCTTCTCCCCACTGGAAAAGGAAAAAGGAAAGAACTACATTGCCACGATCTTCGAGGCTGCTTGCACTTTAGCGTAAGTCTGCTAGGTCGACGCCTGCGCTTAGAAATCCCAGCCCCTAAGCTCGTGCCGGCCCGGACACCGGTGCTGGGGCTCCCCAGAAGCGACCCCAGGGGCTGTGGGTGCCGGCTGGCCTGGCCTGACCCCTCACACCGCCACGTCCAGGCCGGGGTCACAAAGCAGTCACATGTCACTTTGAATGAGAACCCTTGAACTGCGTGCGGCTGAGAACGAAGTTGGGAAACAGCTCAGCCAAAGGCAGCTGAACTTTTTTTTTTTTTAAGAAAAAAAACCCTCCATTGTCCAACGAACTTTCCACAATTCTGGAAAATTGCTCCGATTTCCTGAGCAGTCGGCTCATTTCCCCCTCCCAGCTGCTCCCACCTCGGCGCTCCGGACAAGGAGCCAGAAGAGAGGCTCAGACCCC